GTCAGAGCAGTGGCACTGACAGAGCCTCTCAGCTTAAAGACCTGCTGAGGTTCAGTTTTACAGCTGAGCCTTTTCCTAGGGATGTTAAGGAATAGATTTGTGGTTCATGTGAGTAACTGCTGGTTACTCAGCAGGCACTTAGTGCAGCTACTGAAGTAGTATATAAAAATACAGTAACATGTCAAACACTCAAACACTTTTGGAGGCTGGTTGATAAATGAGCTTCCAAACCCAAGAGACTTTACCTTTTCCCTATGTAGCCCTATACTGGTCACACAAGGTCAGATCAAACACTGAAATTCTTCTCAGTGAGGGTGGTGAGGCACTGGCACAGACTGCCCAGAGAAGCTGTGGCTGCCCCAACCCCTTCCCAAGATCATGTTCAACAGGGCTTGGAGCAGCCTGGTCTAGTGGAAGCTGTCCCTGCCCATGGCAGAGGGTTGGAACAAGGTGATCTTGAAGATCCCTTCTAACCCAAATCATTCTAGGATTTTGACCCAGTAATCCTATCTCCAACAGGAGCCAAGTAACTTCACAAAGTCATTCCCTGTCTGATTTCACCATTCTAACTTTGCAGCATTTTCCTTGCTCAACATCTCCTGACAGAACCAGAGCACACAGTCTCAAGCTGTCAGGGCGGGTATAGATTAGATATCAGGAAGAAATTTTTCACCAAAAGAATAATAAAGTACTGGAATGCTCTTCCCAGGGAGGTGGTAGAATCACCATCTCTGGATGTGTTTAAACAAAGACTGAACATGGCACTTGGTGCTATAGGCTAGGTGAGGTGTGAGGGCATGGGTTGGACTCAGTGATCTTAGAGGTCTCTTCCAACCTCATTTCTGTGATTCTGTGATTCCTTTTCATGTTTAGCTTGGGAGTCACCCATGTGAAGTCTCTCACTGCCCAGAACATCCCAGTTGTCCCTCTGGCCTTTCCCATTAACTCTTCTACCTTCTTTTTGCCCCAAAGATTTAACCAGGTGCTTTAGCCACTTTACCTTCTTCTCTTGTTCTAATTCAATCTCACTTTTGTGACGCTCCAGCGCTTTGGCCACGGCTGCCTCAAAGGCTTTTTTGTCCTCGAGTTTCTGTTTCTGCAGGGCGGCCTCGATGTGCTGCTGCTCGCGCACGCGCTGCTCGGCCAGCTCGCGGTTCAGCTGCTCGATGCGCCGGTGCGCGTGCGCGATCAGCGAGTTCAGGTCATCGGTGGACAGCTGGCCGGCTGAAGGGAACGCAGGCGTGAGGGAGGGCAGGGAACAGAGGGAAACTGCTGCAGCCCCCCCACCTCCCACCCGGGTGCTCTGCGGGGTCACTGAGCAGTGAGCCCCTTCTAGGGAAGGGCTCTGAGCACTTCTAATGCCCACCTGAGAGCACCTCCTGAACTGTATTTTCATTCCAGGAGAGAAATTATCTCAGTTTCTTCCAAATTAGTCCCAGCTGTCATTTACACTTCCATGTCCATGTTGCACTCAGAGACTGTCAACAGCTCTGTCATTTCTTGGTTTTTACACCACCAATTTTCCCCTCTGCCAGCACACAGAGCAGTCTGTCCCCCCTGTGTGAGGGGACAGACAGAATGACATTTTCTCTTCAACAGTCCTCCAGATGAACTGCTCCTAATCAGACTCCTTACCCCAGATTGTACCTTTCAGGTTTGGCTACTCAGAGGGCAGCACAATTCACAACCACATTGTACCTGGGACAGGAGGATCCCAGCTAACCCTGCAGCATTTGGTCACCTGAGAAGGGCTTTATAAAATGCTGCAGCTCATTTTGCACTGGCTGCCAGCTAAATCATCTGAATGGAAAGCTGGGAGTACTTGGGAAAGCATTTCTGCAGGGTCTAATGCAAGCAAGAGTGCACAGTCCCTCAGTCACCTTGTGCTGAGTGCTGGCACAGGGGGGCTTGGAGCAGTGGTCTCACTGGCCAGCAGGAAAGCTGACCTGCAGCACCAAGCTCAGCTGCTGGGTGTAGCAGTGGTACAAAAAGATCCATTTGTGTTTTAAGCCAAGTGTGCAACATGACTGGAAGGGGTCCCAAGGCATAGCTCAGCCTGAATGTTCTAGGAATGCCATGATAACTGCCTGTAACTTAAAGCCATGCCCCACACAAACACAAAGAGAAGAGATGTAACTTTCAAGGCACAAGAACAAGTGATAGTAACTCACCTAAGTCAGTTATCTCTGCAACAGAAAGAAGTTGGAAAAGTTAGTGCACATTCACTACAGCAAGGCAGTCATGCAAAAGTAAAATAGAAAACTAAGAGCTTATCTACAGTGACCTAAACATGAGACCAAGTCCTTAGGAACTCAGGAAGAACAGCATGTGGAGTATAAAAGTCTCTGTGTTACAGGGAAAGTGTAGCCCAAGATGCCCCAACCACTAAAACCACCCTTGGAAACCCACAGATGGACACTTGAGTTCAGCCAAAGCAAGGAACAAGTCTGAAGTAGGAAAGTGCAACAGGACACTGGAAATTTTAGCCTGATGTTTCTAGGGTCTTACAAACAGAAGTAGTTGGTCAAAAAACAAACTCCCCAGTGGTATGAGAGTCAGGGACCCCAAGCCTGTCCCATTCAGCAAGTCACACCAGTAAGAAATGGGGCACATGGAAGCCACCAGGAGCTTCCCTTTCCTCCCACAGAGGGGCAGTGATCACAAACCCAAGATTTTATCCTGTGCAAGGAAAGGCAGCTCCATCCCCAGGGAGCATAAATATTTTTTTTTTCTTCAGAACTAACACCCCAAAAGCAAATTCCACAAACAATTTGTTAATTTCAAATATTTTCCCCACAGATACTGAGTGTGAGGTTGGCTGTTTTTTAAATGAAAACTGAACATTCCAAAGGTCTGGTGTATTCATTTAGCCAGGAAAATTATTTTGTGGACTAAGGTCCACATTCTTAAAGCATAAAGTAGCATTAAGAAAATCTGTTGTAATTTACTTTAAGAAAAATATTAAGGCAATACTGGCACTATTTCTTTTCAAATGACAGTTATTACTTCTATAAAAAAATCTGTAACTTGGAAATAAAGCCTTAACAGCTGCCTCTGAACACATCAGCTAGAAAAGTCTGAGATCACTTAGCACATTTATGTTAAACCCTGACTGGAAATGTGTGGAAATCTGGGGGTTTTGAGGAATGAACTTTTTTGAACTAGCCCAGACAGTAATTGTTCCATGGACATACCACAGGTGGGTTCTTGCAGGAGCTCACCCCCAGCCCTGGTGAACACACACAATCACCTGCTGCAGCTCTGCTTTAAAATGCAGGCAGCTAAGGGGAGCAGGAGTGTGCAGGGATGAGCTGACTGCTCACTGCTCTTGCTACAGGTGTGTTACTGTGTCAGGGCAGAAATAAATGTACTGGGGCAGGCAGGGTATCAACAATGAAACCTCTCCCTTTCAGTGATGATGTAGAAAATTCAGGAAGTTCTTTATCACCCTGTCACAACAGTGTTTTACAATACCTCTAATCACAGAGTTAACCAAGTATTTGATTACTGATTAATATCAGATTTGATTGAAATCTCAAATGATCTGACTTCCTTCCTAAAATACAGGGAGGAGAGAGATGTTCATACAACCAATATGACATTTATCACACAAGAGCCACTTTCTGTTTTGTGATCCTTCCCACACAGCACATATAGAACTGATTCTTTCACAACACCTGCTTTAGATTATTTAACTGAGTTGTGAAATCATTTTCACTTCAGACCAACCAAACACTGGGAACATTTGAGAACTGGGATGGTGGGCATTGAGTGGTCATGCACAACACACCACAGTGCTACAAGCACAAGGTGACCCCTCTCCAAGGGCAGACTTACTCATCCCCTTCCAGCCAGGCTTCACGTCAGGGGTGATGCTGTCCAGCTCCTTCTGGAATTCCTCTCTGGCTTTGATCACCAGCTCGTGGTACTGAGCCACAATCTTGGCCTCAGACTGTGCTGCCTGCACCTGGAACAAACAAGGGTGAGATTCATTTGTTTTTCAAGGCAAGAAGTGAAACTGAAGGCACAAATCATTTAAAGCCAAGCCCTGGGACACTGGCACACATCAATCCCCAGCCCAAACCAGGCAAACTCACCTGGGACAGCACCAAAGCCCATCCTGTGATATTAAACCTCTCTTACACAATAATTATTTGCTGGAAGTTTAACTAATCCATTTTGTTTTACAGGCTCACAGTAACCACACAGCCAGTCTGTAGTCTGGACAGGACCAGGAGTGCCTTGAATTCAGTTTATATCTGAAACACCTCCAGCTCCCTCTCTGTGCTCACAGCCATCACACAGGCCTAGTAAGCCATGCCTGTGATTGCTGCCATCCTCAGAGAGTTCTGAGGTTCCCACTAGCAGGCTACATTCACTCCAAACACACCTGATGAATTACCAGCTGTCCTGCAAAGGGAGACAAACTTCACCTTTACATTTCTTTCCCAGTCTTCTGTGCAAAGTGATTTACCACCAAGTCATTAGCACACAGTGAACTTCTCCCTAACCTTGTGGTAAATTCCCTCGGAGCCAAGTGAAGAATTACAAGAACAGAAAGGAACTGGGACCATCCAGACACCTGGAGGCCCTTTCAAGACAGAGCTCAAGCTCTCATGAAGATTTTGCCATGACTGATTACTGGCAGTATAACCAGCTCAAAGCCTGAGGACAGCCACAAGAAGATGGATTAACACAATGCACTGCAGTGCTCACAGCACTGAGCCTGTCTGAGCTCACAAAATGTTTGGACAACACACTCAGGAACAGGATGGGATTCTTGGGATGTCCTGGAGTTGGACTCAATGATCCTGGTGTGTCCCTTCCAACTCAGCACATTCTGTGAGTCTGTGAAATATCTCACTCCCTGCAGAGGAATGGGAGATCTGCACAAGCTGCCAAGGAGCCCCCACTCTGGAGGCAATTATAAACACTCTGAGCAAGCCTTACCTTTTTCACCACATTGTCCAAGTCCACAATCATATGATGGAGATTTTCTTCTGCAGCAACAATGTGAGGTTTGGCTCCTGCCAGCTGAGACTTCTTGGCATTCTCGATGACACACTTTGTCTTCTCTAACTCCTCTCTGAAAAGAGAAGCAGCTGCTGAGTGTAACACAGACAGGGCTTATCACTCAAAGAAAATTTACTTTATGCTGTTGGTATTCACAGGAACAACTACTGGGTAACTCTACTGGTGCTTCCTATCTACCAACTCTAAGATGCTTTGACTAAGGATTACTTTTTTCCCACAGCCTGAAACCTAAAGATGTCAGTGTGGCTATTCCATGTAAAATGAGAATTATTTACACTGCAATTAGTATTCAGGATTTAGCTGGAGGGAAAATGGAAGTTCACTGAAAGGAGTTAGAATTAGTAAAACTAGAATTAGAGATTAAAATTAGGTTAGAATTATACAGCAGACATTTACAGCAGCAAGGAAACATTTTTAATATAGATGGCTTACGCTTGCAGAAGTGTTTTGGACATGGTGACTGGTGGAGATTAATGAGGATGGGAGAGAATTTATAGGGCTCTGTAAAGATAATTATGGGGTTTTGTAATTAGGAAAGAAATGCTTTCCTCTAGCACAATTAGAAATCAAGGAAAAAGTGAAAAAATGTTCCTTTTCCAAATCCATTCAAACCAATGGAGGTTTCCAATGACCTCATTAGAATAAGGAACAAGCTTTAAAATAAGCAAATTAAGAAAATAAATAAAAGCAAAGATCTCCAGTAGAGCAATAGAGAATGAAAGCTGCTGCATGTGGGGTTTGCATTAGCTTTGTTTTAACAATGAAACCTCAATTACACTCCCACTAATTTCAGTCAGCCCAGCAACATCAAAGATAGGAGAAGTTTATAATGTGATAGCAACCATGCAGCTCCAAGGATGATGTTGCCCTCTCAGCCTTACAAGCATCAAAGGGTTTCCAAATTTATTTCTAACCTCACTATAAGGGCATCTTGGAGATACTGTTTGTCATTTTATTTCTGCTCCTTCAGTGCCCATAGACCACACTAAGGGCACATTACAGACCCCAGGGTATGAGCAATGCTGGCATCCAGAATTCAAGTTTTTCTTAGGCATGTGCTCAGTAAAAATCAAATTGCTAAAAAGCAATCCTGTGGACACAGGGAACTGCCAAAGGATGCTGCAAGGTTTAATTTTTTCATTACAACTAAAAGAAGTTGGTGATGTTGCTGACTCAGTACACAGAGTGCAGTCATGGAGTCATCCTCAAACAGCTTGGGTTGGAGGGGACTTCAGAGACCATCTCACCCCACCCCTGCCATGGGCAGGGACACCTTCCACTGGAACAGGTCACTCAGGGCCCCATCCACCCTGGAACACCCCCAGGGATGGGGCAGCCACAGCTTCTCCGGGCAAACTGTGCCAGGGCCTCACCACTCTCACAGGGAAGAATTTCTTCCTTATATCCAATCTAAATCTGCCCTCTGTCAGTTGAAGCCAATCCCCCCCGTTCTGCCTTGGTAAAAAGTCCCTCCCCAGCTCTCTTGTATCCCCTTTAGGTGCTGGAGTGCTTGAAGGTCTCCCCAGAACCTTCCCTTCTCCAGACTGAAGAAGAGATTTACAATACATTTATTATTAACAAAATTATTCAACAATAATACTAAAAGGACTGTGGGGTTTTTTTTTTCATCTTACTTGAACTTACCAGCACTCTTTGTTAGTACTAAGAAGATAAATAAGTTCTTAAAAAGAACAGGACTGTTTCAGACTCTGCTACAGGGAGGATTTTGTGCACAGACACCCAAGGTTTGCTCGTGTCAAATTAAAATGCTCATGATAATGAGCTGATTTGGCACAAACAGATCATTCAATATGAACACAGGCGGCTCCATACTTTCTAGAAACTCAGCTCTCACATGAGCAATGTCACTTCTTACTCCAAGACTTAAATCCAGCAACTCACTTGGCTTTCAGGAGGGCATCAGCAGCTTCATCCACGGCTCTCCTGCGGTCCTTGAGCGCCTCCTCCAGCGTGCGCCACTGCGAGGATTTCTTCCCACAGGCATCCTGGGGAGCACAGAGCCCTCATGAGGTCACTGCAACCCCTGAGCAAGGGTTACACACACTGGGAGCCTTCCCCCAGCACCCTGGGGAGCACAGACCCCTCATGAGGTCACTGCAACCCCTGAGCAAGGGTTACACACAGTGGGAACATTTCCCCAGCACCCTGAGGAGCACAGACTCCTCATCAGGCCATGGCAATCCCTGAGCAAGGGTTACCCACACTGGGAGCCTCCCCCAGCACCCCAGGGAGCACAGAGCCCAATGAGGTCACTGCAATCCCTAAACAAGGGTTACCCACACTGGGAGCCTTCCCCCAGCACCCTGAGGAGCACAGACTCCTTATCAGGCCATGGCAATCACTGAGCAAGGGTTACCCACAGTGGGAGCCTTCCCCCAGCACCCTGAGGAGCACAGACCCCTCATGAGGTCACTGCAATCACTTAGCAAGGGTTACCCACACTGGGAGCCTTCCCCCAGCACCCTGAGGAGCACAGACCCCTCATGAGGTCACTGCAATCCCTGAGCAAGGGTTACCCACACTGGGAGCCTTCCCCCAGCACCCCAGGGAGCACAGACCCCTCATCAGGTCACTGCAACCCCTGAGCAAGGGTTACCCACAGTGGGAGCCTTTCCCAGCACCCTGAGGAGCACAGACTCCTCATCAGGGTCATTGCAATCCCTAAACAAGAGTTACCCACAGTGGGAGCCTCCCCCAGCACCCTGGGGAGCACAGAACCCAATGAGGTCACTGCAATCCCTGAGCAAGGGTTACCCACAGTGGGAGCCTTACCCCAGCACCCCAGAGAGCACAGAGCCCTCATCAGGGTCACTGCAATCTCTAAACAAGGGTTACCCACAGTGGGAACATTTCCCCAGCACCCTGAGGAGCACAGACTCCTCATCAGGGTCACTGCAATCACTGAGCAAGGGTTACCCACAGTGGGAACATTTCCCCAGCACCCCAGAGAGCACAGACCCCTCATTAAGGTCACTGCAATCCCTGAGCAAGGGTTACCCACAGTGGGAACATTTCCCCAGCATCCTGAGGAGCAGACTCCTCATCAGGTCACTGCAATCACTGAGCAAGGGTTACCCACACTGGGAATCTTCCCCCAGCACCCTGGGGAGCACAGACCCCTCATGAGGTCACTGCAATCCCTAAACAAGGGTTACACACACTGGGAGCCTCCCCCCAGCACCCTGGGGAGCACAGACCCCTCATGAGGTCATGGCAATCACTGAGCAAGGGTTACACACACTGGGAACCTTCCCCAGCACCCCAGAAAGCATAGACCCCTCATGAGGTCACTGCAACCCCTGAGCAAGGGTTACCCACAGTGGGAGCCTTCCCCAGCACCCCAGAGAGCACAGACCCCTCATGAGGTCACTGCAATCCCTAAACAAGGGTTACACACAGTGGGAGCCTCCCCCCAGCACCCCAGAGAGCACAGAGCCCTCATGAGGTCACTGCAATCCCTAAACAAGGGTTACCCACAGTGGGAGCCTGATCACTGAACATTTCCCTCAAACTGAGCACCATTCTTGTGTTTTTCAACAGCACAGCTGGAAGCTTTACAAATGATGTTTCTCTTCGAACATTTTGTTTTGGTTTTGTTTGATTCTTAATGGGTTTTCTTCCTGAGCCACAGAGCTTTATTCACCCAGAAGAGCTTACATGAGAATCATTGTATGGTGCACAACCTATAGTGGGGAAATCTCCACATATATTACAATACTTTAATACTTTAAAATTGCTTTTAAGCATAATACTTTAAGTACCATAATACTTAAAAGTTGATTTTAAATTAAGTTTAGTTATTAGACTTAAAATCAATCTCTTAAGGCAGTTATTTTACTAACTACTAGATTAAGTCTTGAGTGCTTGGTTGGTTGCCCATGTCCCTGATTAACAAGTGAATTTTATCTCTGCTCCAGAACTGAATGGGCAGTGGCAGACCCACACAAACTCTGGCATGAGCACACCACAAGTGTTATCACTTGTACATCCCCTTCCTATTTCCTGACAAGAAATAAACAATCCAGCAAGAGGATGCTGGAAAAGGAAAAAAGCTCAATGGAATTACTAGGGTGGACAGCATGATCTTAACTAGGTAAAGAGTCTTGAGAATTAAAATTAATTAATTAAAATACAGTGTGAAAACTATTAATATCTTAACTTGAATTTTCTTCTTGCAAAAAGCAAATAGAGGAGTTGGGAAAAAACCCCAAACAACAAAATTCAAAATCACTGTATTATTTGACTATACCACCTTTCACAAGTGGAAAGGTGAGTTAAAACTGTGATAAAGGCATTGCAAGAAAAGATTCCAAGTTTATTTTTAATTCAGATTAAAGTTTTGCTGAACCAAATGAAAAATAAAATTGTCCCCACTTGTCCAATTTACCTCAGAATCATCCATGGCATCCTTCAGGATTTGGGAATGGGCATTCACTGCTTGCACAGCTGACTGCTGAGCAGTGATAGCCTGAAGGGTCACACGAGCAGTTGCATTTAGGGCTCCTTCTAGAGTTGCTGCAAGGGCTGGGAAAAAATTTAAGTCAATTAAACAATAAAGAACTTTATAATTAGTAAAATAACATGTTACAGCTTCTAAGTATCTTAAATTATTTTCTATGATCTAAAAGGGCTGGGCAGTTTGGGAATTAAACAGCAGCCCACAGAAGATCACCAAAATGCTCTCATTTGGAGCAGAGGTACTGAGAGCAAAACACCACCCAGTGGAAACCTCTCCCATGGGACTGCAGGGGGTGCAGGTGTATCCCATGTTCCCTTGTTCTAATGGTTCTGGAAACAAATTTTCATATCTTCCTTGAACCTTGAAGTCTATTCCAACCTCAGTTTTTCCATAATTCTTCAATTCTCAGTTATTTATGAGTGGGTGGAAGAAGCTTCACCACCACTCCACATCCAAGAGGTGTGTAAGGAGCTTAGGATCATACAGTCAGTGCAATTGCACAGTTCTTTCCCATGCAACACACACAGGGACAGTGACAGTGTGGACTCACCTGACACCTTCTCTTGCTCCTCTTTGTCTTGCTGGGCAAGCCTGGCTGCAACTTCTTCTGGGGGCCGTTCTTTCACAGCATGGGAAGCTTCGTGTTGTTTTCCTGTTCAGAAGTAAAAAAAGAGTCAAACTGCTTAAGTGGAGAGTCCAAATTAGTGTACAGAGGTTACTTGTAGGGAAGTAACTTTATCAAAACTGATTTTTGTAGTTGGTATCACTTTGTAGATCTGACTTCTGCTCAAAACCATGCTGGAATTACCTGAGGAACCTTTATATCCATAACTACAAAGGCCAGTCTCACAACTTAAAGTCAAGGACATGAACACCTCACATACATTTGGAGATTTTCCATTGTCTAGTTACAAAATTACACAAGACTCAGAAGTGAAAGGCAAAGCAAGAAGTGAGAAACACTTACAGAGCCAAAGTTAAATTTCAAGTGAATCTCCCTTCCTGCTTTTTCTCAGTTCTCCTCTGGCATGCTTACAGAGCCCAACCAAAGCAACAAAGGATGAGTGAGAAGGCTATGGGGGATCACAATTACACTCCTTGCCTACAACCACTTAAAATGCCTTTAAGAGTGAGAATTGACCTAATTAACACTCTCAAGATCAACAGCAAGTTGCATCTGAGCTGAGGAGAGAGCCCAGAGCTCTCAACCTCAAGCTGCAACAAAACCCATCAGGTCACCTCTGAATAATGCTGATGTTACTCTGCAGCGTGTGCATATCCCTGGCATGCTTTCTATGAAATGTTCATAACTAAAGAATTAATATAACCTAATCACATCTGGAAGAGACCATCATCTCAAGGCTGGTGTCTCTTGTGGAGTTTAACAAGAAACAGTTTCCTCACGTGTCCCTGGGCAGAGATGCCCTACTGAACAGCAACCACAAAGCCACCAGGAGCAGAGGCAAGCTGCAGTGTGCAAGTTCAGTTCTGCACAAAGGGAAGCTCTGCTTTTGTGCTCACACCTGTACCTGTCCCAGTCTGCAGCTCTCACTGTGTCCAAATTCTATTAACAGATGATGGAAGTTGTCTATAAAAGGCACAGAAACTCACACCTTTCAACACTGACAAATACCAACACAGAAGCAAAATGCATGCACACGAAGCTAGAGGATTTGGGTTTTCTTCATTGTATTCACAAGGTTTTTGTCACCTTCTTCAGTCTGTATCTCCGGAGCTGGCACCGACACAGCTACCCCTGTTGCAGAGATGATCTGTGCTGCAGCCTTGCCTGCTGTTAAACACAGTTGCAGAACACAGCAGTTAGTACAGCTGGGGAGATGGGCTCCATGTGCCACAGAACCACGGCCACAGCACCTCCAGCCAGGGCCTGCTGAGCTGCTGAGCAGGGGTTAAACCAAAGCTGCTGGGAGAGGGGGCCCAGGAAAAGGGAAGCTCACTTCATGGAGACATGGTGGGATGGCAGCTGTGAGTGGAGGGCTGGAATGGAAGGATGAAGGCTCTTTAGGAAGGCCTGGCAGGGCAGACAAGGAGGGCAATCACCCTCTTTGTCAGTGACCAACTAGAGTGCATGGAGCTCTGCCTGGGAATGGATGAGGAGCCAACCAAGAGCTCATGGGTCAGATTAGAGGGAGGGCAGGGATAGGTGACATTACACTGGGGGTCTGCTACAGGCTGCCTGAGCAGCATGACAGAGCAGATGAGACCCTCCAGTGAGGGAGCAGCATTGCTGAATAAGGGTGACATCATCTCCCTGGATTTCAGAAATTTGCATTGTCATTTGTCACTGCCTTACATGACATCCTTATGTCTAAACTGGAGAGACATGGATGTGATGGATGAACCACTCCATAGATAAGGCACTGGCTGGATGGCTGTGCTCAAGGAGCTGTGGTCAGTGGCTCAATGTCCAATGGACACCAGTGATAAGTGTGTTCCCCAAGGCCACTGCTGGGACCAGGACTGTTAAACACCTTTGTCAGTGACCTGGGCAGTGGGACTGAGGCACCCTCTGCCAGGTCTGCTGATGACATCCAGCTGAGCTGTGCAGTCACACCTGGAGGGAAGGGATGCTCATCCACAGGGACCTGCACAGGCTCCAGGGGTGGGACTGTGTGAGCCCCATGAAGCTCAGCAGGACCAAGTGCAACATCCTGCACCTGGGTCAGGGCAAGTCCAAGCACAAACACAGGCTGGGGGAGAATGGATCAGGAAAAGCCCCAAGAGAAGGATTTGGGGTGCTGGTGGGTGAGGGGCTCAACAGGACCTTGTCATGTGCACAGGCAGTCCTGAAACCAGCTGTGTCCTGGCTGGAGCCCCAGCAGTGTGGGCAGCAGGTCAAGGGAGGAGATTCTGCCCCTCTGCTCTGCTCTGGTGAGGCCCCACCTGCCCTTCTGCATCCACCCCTGGGCCCCCACTCAAGGAGGCCATGGAGCTGATGGAGCCAGTCCAGAGGGGGCCACAATGATGCTCAGAGGGCTGGAGCCCCTCTGCTGTGGGGACAGGCTGGGAGAGCTGGGGGTGTTCAGCATGGAGAAGGCTCCAGGGACACCTTCAATCACCTTCCAGCTCCTACATGGGAGCTGGAGATGTTCTACAAGGGCATGGAGTGACAGGGCTTCACACTGACAGAGGGCAGGGTTAGATTGGATATTAGGAAGAAATTCTTTACTGTGAGGGGGGTGAGGCACTGGACCAGGCTGCCCAGAGAAGCTGTGGCTGCCCCATCCCTGGAAGGGCTCATGGCCAGGTTGGATGGATTTTTGGGTCTAGTGGAAAGTGTGCTTGCCCTTGGCAGGGGGTTGAAATTGGATGATTTTTAAGCTCTCTTCCAAACCATTCCAGTGCTATAATATAATAACAGGGCTATAAGACTTAATTTTTCCCTCTGTAGAAAAATATTAATTGGATATGGATGCTATTATTTCCAGAAGAAGCTGATTTCCTGGATAAACAGCAACAAGATATTAGTTACACATACACAGAGCCATTAGATAAACATAAAAAGACATCACAAGTGCTCCTCCCTAAACAAGCTCCATTTGATCTGGCTTTACAATAGCCCAGTAATTATCCACAATTAAGTATCTTGTGCTTGCAAGAACACCTGAAGTTCTCTTCCTGCTGAGTCTCACATCTAAACTATGAAGATTACTAATTATTTATCTCAGATTCTAGATTAAATACATTTCTTAAAAAAAATAGGAAAAAAAACCTAAAGCCACTCAATGCAAATGTTATGATTTGGAAAGAAAAAAACATTAATTCTAAGAAATTACTATATTTACCTTCAACCATTCAAAGGAATATTTTAATCTACTCTACCATACATGATACAGGAGATCATTAGGTCATTTGCTCCTTTGTACATGACATTCTATAAATTTACCTCCTTTTTCCTCTGTAGGAGCAGGACATTCTGGTTTGCTTAGCTGAGATTTGGGAGCAGGCTGTTTAGACTCCTTCATTACTTCTGCTACAGATGAGATCTTCAGTGGACCTTGTTGTATCTTGAAAAGTCAGAAATAAGAAATATCATCAGTTTTTCAAACAGCTTGGATGTCACCAATTCCAGTACAATGGAAAAGAACTTTCCCATATCCAGGTGTCTGTACCATAAATCTGAGCTTCAAAGTGCAATTTAGAACAGCCATCTAATGCCTTGACTTGATTTTTAATTCAGAAGGAATTTTAAAGATTTTCTCATCTCCAAAAATGCAGGTAGAACTGTGGCAGTTTTCACTATAAACAAATATTTATTAAATTATGTATAAAAAACAAATAGTTTTATGCCCCAAATATTCCAAGCACTTCTGAGCATGCTGAAAGCAGAAACCCCAAGTTTGGCTCCACTGATTTCCCTTTGAAAGGCTTCAGATGCTGGTGGTTGGGGCACATAAACACTCAAACATAAAGTATTGTGACATTTTATGATATTAATCCCTTAATATCCATTGTGGAAAGCCACAAGGTAAAAATAAAACCATCTGAGTTAGAGCCATGACTGGGGAGTTGATAACTCTGCTAATCAATCTGGTTTGCAAATTCCCTGGGAGGCACCAAGAGCTTGGATGATCACACAAACTGTAGCTAAAACAAGAAGAGAGAAATTTTGTTGACTGATATTCCTCCACTTATTAAGAACAGCTTTCTTAAAATTCAATTAAAAATATTTTGAGTTTCCTGAAAGCCAATTGGCTTCTGAAAGCTCAAAAAATCCAAGGCTAGAGCAGATTTTCAGTATTCTTGATTACTGGGAAGTGTTTTCTTTCACATGGAGGAGCAGAGAAACTTTCAGGTTTCAATTTCAGAGCTGTGCCAAAGGCAGTATCAGATTTTCCTTTCTCCAGGGTTGTGCCACTAAGATGTCAAAGTCTGATGCTTATGCCTGGTTCTGTATCACTCAAATCTTTACTTATTCAAGAATGTTCTCCGTTTTCTTTAAAGTAAATTCATTTAGAGTAAGTTTTGTAATTCTGCCACACCACTAACTACAATAAGCCTCCAGTAAAGCAGTTAAATTCCAGCCGGACACCTGCCTCTCTCTCTCCCCATTTTATTTCTGAGTGTAAGCAGAGCAGCTATTCAGTTGGGATTCCATTAGATTATTTTACTGCAAATAAAAACAAATTTTGCAACCCACAAACCACAATCATGAGATGGCAATGGGAAATGTACTTTTGCAGTACCAAGAAGGAACTGAATTTGTAATTATTAAACCTTAATTTAAGGAAATCTTAATTCTTTAACTTTTTTAATTCTTAGCACAAAGCAAAATGAACCAGAATTCAAAACATAAGCGCAGAGACTTTCTTTAAAAACCAGAGAAGTGGATGTGTGGGGGGGATGGGAGACACTTACTGGTTTCTTTGGCACTGGTGTGCTGGAAGGTGCAGGGCCAAGTGCCATCTGGAAGAGTTTGTCAGAGTAGGGAATGGCCTTCTCCACGCTGTCCCGGAACTGTCGGTCATAGCTGGCATACAGGACAGTCCCACCTATCCCTCCACCCACAAACAGCAGGCCTGCACCAATGACTTTGCCCACGGAAACACTGAGGAGGAAAGAAGAGTGAAAGGGGTATAAATTACATAAATAAATAAATTACATTATATGGCAAACATCAAACAGTTTGTGAGCCTTCAGCTTACAGCTGAGGACCACCTCTGTTCCAGAACCTGCTCTAAATCACTTTCAGCCTGGTACAATACTGCTTGGTGACTAACCCAAAGTAAGATGCCAACCCACAACTTCCCTGATAAATACTGATCATCTTCATTTTCTTCATCTAAATCCGACTGAACCAAGCAAGGAACACACCCCAGGAGAACAGGACTGACTCCACACAGAAACCCCACTGCCAGGAGCCTGCTGTGCTGTGAAACCAAGGAGCAGCCCCCCGTTGGTGAGTGCAGAAGCAGCCCCAGCCCAGAGCCCGTGACGTACCCGGAGTCCCCGTGCTGGGAGGCAAATCCGCGCTGCGGCCGCCATGGACGGAGCGAGGCTCTCACACGGCAGCTGTTCTGTGGGGAGAGGGCACGGTCAGCGGGGACACGGGGACATGGGGACACATCTCCTACAACAGCAGCACTGGGGGGAGGCAGGGACACAGGGACACGGGGACATGGGGACACATCTCCCTACAACAGCAGCACTGGGAGGACACAGGGACACAGGGACACATCTCCTACAACAGCAGCACTGGGAAGAGGCAGGGTCACGGGGACACAGGGACACGGGGACACGGGGACACATCTCCCTCTAACAGCAGCACTGAACTCTGGGCAGGGTCAGCAGGGACACAGGGTCACAGGGACATGGGAACACGGGGACACATCTCCTACAACAGCAGCACTGGGAAGAGGCAGGGTCACAGGGACACAGGGTCACAGGGACACAGGGACACATCTCCCTCTAACAGCAGCACTGGGCTCTGGGCAGGGTCAGCAGGGACACAGGGACACGGGGACACATCTCCCTACAACAGCAGCACTGGGCTCTGGGCAGGGTCAGCAGGGACACGGGGACACAGGGACACATCTCCCTAGAACAGAAGCTCTGGGGAGGGTCAGCAGGGACACGGGGACACAGGGACNGGGACACGGGGACACAGGGACACATCTCCCTAGAACAGAAGCTCTGGGGAGGGTCAGCAGGGACACGGGGACACAGGGACACATCTCCCTAGAACTGCAGCACTGGGAGGACACAGGAACACAGAGACACAGGGACACATCTCCCTACAACAGCAGCACTGAACTCTGAGCAGGGTCAGCAGGGACACAGGGACACGGGGACATGGGGACACATCTCCCTACAACAGCAGCTCTGGGGGGAGGCAGGGACACAGGGACACAGGGTCACAGGGTCACAGGGACACGGGGACACATCTCCCTAGAACAGCAGCACTGAGGGGAGGCAGGGTCAGCAGGGACACATCTCCTCCAACAGCAGCACTGGGAAAAGGCAGGGACACACCTCCCTAGAACTGCAGCACTGGGAGGACACAGGGACACAGGGACACAGGGACACAGGGACACAGGGTCACAGGGACACAGGGACACAGGGACACAGGGACACATCTCCTCCAAAGCAGCACTGGGCTCACTGGCTCCATTGCCACAGCCTCAGTGTCTCTGTAGGACACCTGTGACCAGCACTGGACTCTTTTCTGGGAACACATGTCCAGGTTCAAGGCTTTTAAGAAGTCATGAAATTCTTTGAAAAATGAATTGAAAATTTGAAAAATGAGAAGGAATAAACCCCAACTCCAGTATCTTTCTGCATTTATTTCACTGATTTATGTGCTGGGCCGTACAACTGGGTTAATTTCAGATGCATTTCAATCTCACATACTAAAACAGCTCAGTGTGATTGGGGTAGAACACAACAACAGCTGTTTAAATGCTTAAAACTACTTTAAATTCTTAAGATACACAAGCAATTCTCCTTAAACTTCCAAACTACTTTTAATTCTTAAGATACACAAGCAATTCTCATTAACCTTCCAAACCAAGACCACTACTTTAAAAGAATTACTAACACGTACACTTTCCAGACAGACATCACATTATAATATAAATTAAATTAGTATATGAAGAGTGATATTTTATTATATTTACTTAACAAGATCCACATTATCAAGATTTTTATCTTCTCTGAAGGACTGGTTAAGCAACTGTAAGCGTACAGAAGAAAACACACTGTTGGCCTCAGAGGTTTTTTCCCCACATGGGAATTACTAACACAGGATGAGTCCTGTACAGGATGAGAAATCAAAGCACAAAAAGAACTTTTCCCACAGCTGAGGTATTTTTCCCAACAGGGAATTTTTTCTTTAAAAAGGAAAAAACTGGGAGATGCCTCACTACAACATAATCCCAGGAGACAAGTTTCTCTATTTGCTTTTGCACATGGCAATAACATGCACAACTCTTGTGGTTCAGGTCCTATCCCTGTCCAACAGCACAGACAGGAAAAGGCAGGAACACTGCATTCTTATTCTTTCCACAAAGGCAGCCAAAAGGTTTTTAATTAGCAGCAGGAGGAACCTGCTCCTCTCAGCCCTGAGACCTCCAGGAGCCCTCACTGCGGGTGGTTTTCTGCATTGTGATGGACAGAAAGGGCAACAAAATAATAAATATATTCTGTAACATTTTTGATTTTCTGACTTGACTGCTCCAGGAGCACTTCCTGAGGCTTCACTGCTCCTTTCAAGGGGAATTTCATTAATAAAAGCCTCACAAATCATTTGGTTACCAACTTTTGAACCTACCTACCTACCACAAATGATTTTGTAACTTCTGAAAGTGCTCCTGACTCTCAGCATGGCCCTATTACACCATGAAGCACAGGAGGGGCAAATAATCCAGCATTATGCATACAGCTCAATCCAGTAATTTATATTTCAGCATTTATATTTCAGCATTTATATTTCACCATTTATATTTCATACACCAGGAGGATTTTTTGGAGGGATTATTGATTTCAGTCCAGATGATCTTTTGAGATCTCTTCCAAGCTGGACTGGTCTAGAATTAGCCAAATCCTCATTTCTATTTATTTTTCATGCAGATGAGAGGAACCAAATCGCAGGCTCTCCATCTCTGGGACTCTCACACATGTAGCAATGGCAGCACTCTAAATTAAACCCAAAACAAGCCCTCACCAACTCCATCTTTCAAGTCACTGCAATAAATTTCCACAGCTGGCCAGTGGAACAGCAAATAAAAATCTCTAAGTACCCATGTCTTATGAATAGAAGCCAAATTTTTCCTCCCTCACATCCAAATACACTAATACCTCCAAAAATCACTGATTTTTTTTTAAATCAATTTTTAAATAAGTATTGCTCTCTTTTGACCACCATAATAATACTGCTTGTATTTGCTGTACCACCATAACATGGAAATCAGCAGGTCATTTCTAATCTCCCCTTTGCAAAATTCCCAGGACTTTGTCAATTTTCACACCCTTGTCATTTATTTGTAAAAACGCCTCAAAGGATTTTGGAGAAATTCATCCCACATGCTTTGCTGTGCCCTTCAAAAGGCAGAAATAAATGACTTTCTGCCCTGCAGAAGACAGAAAATTCTTTGGATGAGGCAGCATGGACACAGCAAGGGCACTGCAGGGCAGCTGTTTCTATTTCTTCCTCCTCCTCCCTCAGCTCTACATGATTTTTGTTTCACTCAACTTTTTAAATACTTATTATTTTGCATGCATTTCCTACTATTTAATCACCACAAGAATCACTTAGCAGGGCACATCACACCTTCACTCTGGTTAATATTATGAGCCCCAGTGATTTAAGGACATTTAAGGATATCCAAGTGAGCTCACTCTGGCACAGTGCTCAGGGCAAGAGCAGCACGGCAGAACATCATTAAACAAATTAAATCTGCCCTGCAGGTTTATACTTCATGTGTAATTTCAAATAACCATGGCCAGGACACACCATGCTCTGCTCACTTAGCTCCAGTTCAGCCTCCCTCAGGCACCAGGCTCGAGTGTCCTGATCCAGAATTTCTGTAATGTGAGATTTGTGCTCTTCAACAGGAAGAGCAAACCAGAAACTTCAGAGTTTTTCTTCATTAAGACACAGATTGGGTACAACAAGGACATCTCACCACAGAACTCTGATGTCCCATCATTCAAGACTTCTGCCAACTATCACACACTTTTAGTAAAAGCCCTGTTCATTTCACAGAAAACTTCAGAAATACTTCAAGAGAAAAGTCACTCTGCAGCACTGCACATGTAGCAGAAAACATTTCTGAAAGTGATGAAGATCCTCTTCTCTCAAAGCCACTTCAATTGTTACAAGTTTAATGATGCTCCACACATAGAGCTCACAGAAAGAATGCAAGCAGGAAAAATGAGTAACTGGAAAGAGGGAAGGAAAGAATGAATAAAGTTTTCCCAGTCTCCACCACAAACTCTCTGGTACAGATAACAAACTTCAGAGAGTGCTGTGGCATCTCTGTGTTTGCAGAGTCCTTAGGGATGAATTGTGCCCTGTGAGGGTGGTGTGGTGCTTGCCCAGACAAACTGTGGATGTCCAATCCCTGAAGTGTCCACATCCAGGCTGGCCAGGGCTTGGAGCAGCCTGGGACAGTGGGAGGTGTCCCTGCCCAGGGCAGAGGGTTTGCAATGAGAAAGTCTTAAGGTCCTTTCCAAACCACTCTGTGACTCTTTCACCAAATATTTATAGCCTGATGACCAACTTCCAGCTGCAAAGCACCACCCTGGCTGCTCTGGAGCTGTACACTCATTCCAGCCATTCTGTTAAAGCCAAGCACATGCAAACAGCCTCAAGTGATAAATATCTGCCAAAGCCTGGTTTCTGTCTTCTCAGCTTCCAGATGAAACTTTCCACAGCCAGGCAAACCCAGAGCCCTTTTTCAGTGGCCATCAGGTGACCAAAGGGCTCTCCAGCCCTGGGGAGCAGCAGAGATGCAGCTGCTGGAGCTTTAGAGGGAAGAACCTACAGCTTCTCCTTTGCTAAATTGTGTGAATAGAGGGTAATGAACACTGGGATGGAAAACGATATAAAAGTGATCTCGTCAGGTTAGTTTTTATCAAGCAGCTGAATACAATCTGGGGCCTTGGTAAAGGTGCCACCCTCACCTATAAATCCTCGTGGCTTCCTAAAGTTGGCCTACTGCTTTAAAAAGGCTCCAGAGCACATCACCACGCTTATCTCTGCTGATAAGGAGAGGCAAAGGTCCAGAACACACAGCACGAGTCCCACGGGCAGCTCTGCCCTCGGCCCCGCGTGTTGTGTCCCACTGTGCGGACAGAGGATCCCCTCACACAGGAGCGCTGCCATCGCTCGTGTCCCCGCGCT